CGATGAATATCCCTGATGCTGTTTGCATGCTGAATAAATAAACTGCTCATTAGCTTTAAGAGAAACCACAAATGTTTGTGGCAGGAACCAGCTGAAACTTTCTGTCAGTGCCTTCACTGTGTCTTGTACTCTCATTTTCTCTGCATTAACTATTGTGTTCATTTCAATAAATGTTTGCATTTCCATGAAGATTCCTTGTGGGTCAGTTTAACAGAGTGTCTGAAAATAATATATATACACAAGGAGAGAGTGGGGTGTGACATTCAGCAATGATGACTAAAGCCTCCATACATGGGCCGCATGTCCTAACCGCCGGGCTTTCGGCGTCCTATGACTCCAGTCTTTAATTCAATGATTAAATGCACCTCTGTAGATCGAGGCTACTAAGAGACTACAACCTGGACTTCTAAACTTTTTTACGAATCAAAAAAATGAATCAAACAAAAAACCTCCATTAAGTCTGTCTGTCAAGTTACATAAAAAGCCAAAAATCCAGTCAACATGATTTTATACTCAAACGGGGACAGTCTTTCAGGTTCAACATTATCAGTAAGAATTCACGGCTGACAATACCAGTGACTGCAGTGGAGCTAATACCACCTGAAAAACAGGTGCTTTTTTGTAATCGAACTTCTCTGAAAAATTTTCATTTCTCCACATCAACTCAACTGTTACAGACAACAATGACAAGTGAAAGCCTCCAAACATTGAGCACTTATGAGTCAAGAGGTCGGGTGTTGCTTGGTGCTGTCCACAGGCTTCCTGAAAGTGGGAGTTTTCTTTCACAGCTTGTTGGATTGCGCAATAATGGCATCAACATGTCCCCTTTTAGACGCTGACAAATGCGTGTGCTCAAGTGCAAAAGGTTGAATGTTGTGCTTGAGAGGTAGAATTCTGATTGTTTGTTGAACATAAGTGGATGAAGAAGGGGCCACTGAAGGACTAAAGAAATGTTAAGTCACTTTAATAGTTTTCTAAATCAAATCATACAAAAGTTCAGCTGGTTGAGGACAACACATGGCATCCTGACACAAACACACAGCTAACATACTGTACATACACAGGTATATATAAATAAGGTATACAAACACAAGAAACATAGAAGATTTCTACAAGTGTGTGTGCTACTTTTTGACGAGTCAGCGTGCAGCCTCAAGCGTTCACTGCCAACTGAACAAATCCTAAAGCGAATAATATCCCTTTAATAAAAAGTGTATGTTCTCATTTATAAAACTATTATCTTCTGATTTCACATGGCTCATAATTCAGTGTCAGATATGGGAGTCCTGCTGTTATCTGGAGCTCGTTTTTATTTTCCTGTCTTCACGAGGAGGCCGCAGCAGAGAGCAGGAACTTCCCGTTTCGATCAACCAAGAGTCCGTGATGAGAGCGACTGACGTCCCAGCTCTGCTTTAAGGCCTGACGGTCCAGTTTATTGAGTCCCTGAGAGCAGAGACGCAGATCCTGGACCAGCTCTGACAACCCATCCAGACCCTCACTGTCCCAGGGGCCGGACACTTGACAGCCTGAGGGAGAAGCAACAAGCTCCAGTTCAGTGTTTCATGTGCAGATTTGTAATTTAGAGCAAACTTTAAGTTGTGATTTCTGTCATTTCATTCGGCTTAATTCCTTCTCTGTCTCCTCAGAAATTAAACTCTGTAAAAAAGATACCTTAAACATAAAATGATAGTCAAAGAGTGTGTGAATACAGGAACCTGAAGGGATTTGGCCAAATCATGCACCTTTATCTCATAAATCAGATTTCAGAACTAGTCCAACCTGAACAATAAACAGCATCGTTTTGCTTTTCCCCTCCTTCTGTTCATTTGAAGGACATACAGACACTTTCTTCATCTTCTATGTTTGCAATGAAAAAAAAAAAGGCTTCAAGGTTCCATTTGCTTAAAACTAAGATTAAAGACTCTGCACCTCCTCCGCACAAAACCCAACTACACAAATCTATAGAGGCACATACCTTGCATGTCTAGAAGGGTCAGAGGGCGACCAGCCTCTCTGAGAGCGTTCAGGATGTTGTATAGTCCTGCTGATGTTACAGACGGGTTCGCTGACAGATTCAGACTCACCAGTGACCGACATGAAGGAAGACACCTGGAGGGGAGAACCAAACAGTGGTGACACTTCACAATTAAAGATGAAATCACAGAAATGTCTAAAAGAAATACCCAAAATAACATAATGTCATCACTAACTCTTAAAAAGATATCATTAGACTGAAACTATACCCATACATGTCTACGCAGCAAAGTGCAGACGTAGTACAAACACACACACACACCTGGCCAAGGTGGCTACACTGCTGTCTGTCAACCCGTTTGCTGCCAGATTCAGGTGGGTCAGTGAACACTCATCCTGCAAGAAAAGACAAACGTTTTCTTTGTACTGTACTGCTGGTAAAGAACACTGACATGCTCGCTTGTCATTGTTTGTGTGTAAATATGATTTGCGTGTTTTTACTTGAGAGAGGATATTTGTGAGGTGTTCCAGTGAAGGGGCGTCAGCAGGACCCCTGCGGACAGCAGACAGGTCCAGGTGTGTAAGACAGTGGAGAGGCAGAGTCTTCAAAACCTGCTCAAAGCCAGTGGAGCCAAGTGCATTGGGATAGACACAGTGATTTCAGGTGGCCTGTCCCTAAAAGAAATGAGGATGCCATTTATGATTTCTCTAATTTTAAACATCTTAAAAAAAGAAAGAAGCTGAAATAGATTCTTTGTTGGACTGTGGGTATCTCCACATATCCTTTTCAATGATTCTAACAGCAAACACAACTTAATCCCTCAAATGCACTCATCCCTTATCTGAACATGTGGCTTTAGATGAAGCTCAACGCTGCCTCTGCTGGTCGGAGTTACCTGTTAGAGCACTTGCTAGCAGCAGTCGATGCTGCTGCAGGAAGCGAGCAGTGAAGCCACAGGCCTGCAGGGATAGTTTGGCTAACAGAGGACAGCAGGACAGCAGACAGGACAGGGACTCAGAGACACCATCACCCAGCGGGTTCATACTGAGGTTCAGCTCCTCCAGACACTGCAGGACAGGAGATAACCACAGACAGCGAATTTGAACAAATGACAACTCTTCTAATTGATCTTTAAATACCGGCATGTGACCGTCGTTCTCAGGATTGGTGAGAAAGAGGTGACAGAGCCGGTGGTTGACATGATGAGTTTTTTTTTTTTTTTCTTCCACACTTTGGTTTGTGACACTTTAACAGGAAAAAACAGGAGGAGTTGTGGTATCAGAGGCGAGTCACACTAACAAAGGTGTCATGACGACTTTAACAGACTGCAGCACACAGTCTAAGATATTCTAAGTGCAATGTGGCCCACCGACAAAGGCCATCAGCTGACATTTTAACAAGAACATTTTCTAAACCACCGCTAATCTTTGTCACATTGGTGGTTTGAGCTTTGTCCTTCAAGATGTTAAGTTATCTATTCCTAAAAATACACAGTAAAAACACAGTGCAACAAATAAACGCTGAAATGTGTTTGTAGAACAAACGTCAACGTGTATCCACAGATAACATCTCCAACAACGTCAAGTAGGACAGTGACCCAAGAAAAAAAGTTTCTTCACACACAAATGATTTTTTCCTGCATTGTAGTTTGACGGTTACAGAGGTTTGAGAAGCAAAATTACAAAAAAAAAAAACACAAATTAAAACGTGAGCAAGCTCCTCCAGCTGAGCTTTTTACCGGAATGCAGGATGGCTGTGTCCATTCAAAGCGTTCACCGCCTTCTCCAGCCCCTCCCCCGTAATGTGACTGGCAGAAATGTCCAGCAGCCGAAGGCGTGGCATGGTGATCGTTGTGGCGACCAGCTCGGGGAGAAGGCTGTCATGTAAACGGTTGCCGGAAATGCGCAGCTCGGTGAGGCTGGCCTGCAGTTTGAGCGCACGGAGGAGCGGGCTGAGGGAAGACGGGGCCAAGCTGAGGCCGCACACCGTCAGCGAGGAGGACCCGTCCTGCACCTCGCACAGCCGGGTGACGCGCTTGTTCTCATCTGCGCGGAGACGAAACAGAAATCGACAATCAAGAAGGTCATAACTCATGCATCATTTTAGAAATGTGGATGTGTGTTTTTGTGTGTATTTGTGCGTGACGCTCACCCACTGCCAGGCTTTGACAGGCCTTCTTGTAGCGCTCAGGGAGAGGAGGAAGATTCCAGGAGCAAACATCAGCCAGAACCTACATTTAAAATACACCATTATGATCCGGTTCTGACTACATCAAGTAACGTTGCAACAGTATGGAAGCCATTCGTCCTCACCTCTTCGTTGGTGTGTAGGACAGCCAGCAGCAGGTCCTGGGGGGAGAGCAGAGCCCCTTCTTTCTGCAGAGAGAGGCGGGGCAGGAGTCCACACTTCTGATAGTAACGCTGAGCAGCCTGCTCACACAGCCAGGACACGGTGCAGGAGTCTGCCTCACTAGAACACAGTGTGAGGATTAAAACATGTAAAAACATCAGTACTACAGTCTGTAGTATTTGTTAGAGACAGTACACATCTTGTGTAAAATGATGATGTACTGCTTTATTAGGAAAGTTTTCCCTGCATCTGAAACCTTGAATATTCATCTTTAACATAAACTCTTTCTTTTCCATTAAAAAAAAAATGGCGATTTGATAAGTATTCTCCTCCCCAAGTTGTTTTGGGCAAGAACTATTTATTAGTTATTCACTGTGAGTTAGATGTACGTTTTCTGTGTCAGTGATTCTTGTTTTCGATCCTCGTATTTTCTTTCTTCTATTCATGCTCAAAAGAAATATGAAATGAATGAATACAACACCAACCTTTGAGGAACTGGGATGAGGAAAACATCTTCCTGAACTCTGACCCTCATTCTGATCGGTGGCGGCATTGATGTGGGCATCGGTGCAACCATGCGAGTGTGTGCTGGAGGCTGAAATTGTTTGTCAAAAATGTTTCAAAAGATGCAGGGAGACTTAAAATATGTGCTCCTTCAAAATGTGAAATGCACAAATGTTGCAAGATCAGGACAATCGAAACCCTTTCAAAGGTCTTAAGGAGTTCTACTGCATAGGAGAAAAAGGTTTAGTGAAGCCCCTTGTAGGAACAGAAGGAGGAGAGGTAGAGGAGGGGAGAAGTTTTGGCTAAATAAGATAACAGTGTGACAAGCAGAACACCCTGAAAAGTTCACTTGGACTATGTCAGCTGGCGTCGATTCTCAAGGTTGTCTTTCTCACGATGAAAGTGGTATTGCATGCACTGATTACATACGGACTTCAGTAAGTCATTTTATGAGAAATTAACTTTAGTCCAAGGCTGATAACCCTTTGATGAGTATTTTTCTAGATGCCTTCACTTGTCCCTCCTCAGAATAATGGATAGGACACAGATTCTTCCTCACCTGGATGTGTATTTGTGGTGGTGGAGGTGTCTCAGCTCTCATGTCCTCATCATCAGTAATCGTAGGGCTGTGTGACCTGTTGACCTCTCGTCTGCCCAACCGGACCATCCCCGGCATCTGAGTCATTTTCACCTGGTGAGGCTTCAAGGAGGGGTTCTTTTTCATAGAGAGACTCCTGCTGGAGGAGAGAGGAACTGCAGGAACTGTGGAAAAAGAAAAGGCATACAGTGAAGATAAAAATAAAATAAAAAAAAGAAGCAAAGAAAGGTTGACAAAAGAATAAAAAAAATGCATTCTTACCTCTGGAGGCTGTGTCGGAGTTAAAGTGCCTGTTTTGGCTTCTTCCTACTGAAGACAAGGCCACATCCTCCCCTCTCATCCCATTCTGCTCCACACGAAGCCTCCTCTTCTTCTTCGGATGGAATTCCTCCAAATCATCCTCTAGCCAGTCGTCGGCCAGATACTCCTCTTCAGGGACCAGCGCTGCTTTGTTGCTGGATGACACAGCTGGTGTGCTGGAGAACTGAGGCTGAGTTAGACCCTGGAGACGGGATTTGGCGCTGCCTAGCCCTCGAATTGCATTGTGGTACTCGTCTCGTTCAAAGACACACGGTGGAGGAGCCTCCCTGACACTTTCCCGACCCGAGGTTGGGACAGAGTCGGCTTCCTTGTTTGGGGGAACTTCCTTTTGACTCGAGGCTGCTGGGAAACTTTGCCGAGGGCGGACAGGACGGAGAGGACTGACCCGGTATTCAGAGTCAGAGTCGTCTGATGAACTGCTTTTATTCTAAAATGTGATTTTAAATATAAAGAATGAACAAATAGCATGATATCAAAGAATCCAAAGTTTGACATCATGTAGTAAAAGGCATGTTAACTTCATATCAAAAGGCATTTTTCCAGATTTTACCCCATACAGGACAGCGGCCTCTGTTCCTCTGGCTCTGAGCCGCTGTGTTGGGCGTTTGATCTGCCATCGTTTTGGGCTGGCAGGTCCCTCCTTAACCTCTGATTTCCTGTTGGTCTGGGGCCAGTCTTGGCTGAGGGGACAGCCCCCTCCAGAGGACAACAGTGGCTCTGAGTTCTCAGCATCAAACAGTTGGCTGTCCTGCAGGGCATCGAAAGGCTTGGCCGGAGCCACAGCAGCAGGCACTGTGTGAGACGGAGATTAAAATGTGTGAAGCGATATTTTTCTAAAAAAAAAGGCAAAACGAAGGCTAAACAGCATGAAGATGAAAAGGCCTCAACCTCCCCCTGCGAGCGCCTTCCTCAGCAGCCTCTCTGTGGCGATGCACTCCTGCCTGGTGTCCTGGTCCAACTCTCTACTGTATGTCTTCTGCCAATACCGCAGAGTGTCCATGGCCGAGTCACCCTGACAGAGGAAGGTGAAAGCATGACATATTTGAAATATAAACCACAATCAGATATTAATAGTTCTTCTAGGGGAGGCAAGATGGGAAAACGCTTTTAGATATGCGCCAATTATAAGAATAAAAGTGTCAGATTAATGTTTTTTTTTTAAACAATGTGTCCTGACTGACTGCCAGTATGTCATCTCTAGAGAAAATGATTATATTTATCTAACAGATCTCTCCTTAACTTCAGGTATTCCATACAATGAAGCAGAAGTGATAATAATGAAATAACAGATAAATATATGCTGAGTTTCACACAGTTTTACTGCAGCAACACGTTCCATGACTGAATCAGCTCCTCCACTTCCCTCAGAGGCCTCACACACCTTGGAGTTGCGTTGGGTGACAGAAGCCCCTCGTTCAACCAAGAGCCTTGCCACTTGTAAACTGCCACAAGCGAGCGCATCATGGAGAGGAGTCACTCCCTCACATAAGGGACCACCAGGGTCGTTGATGTTGGCACCTCGCTCCAGCAGCACTGCCACAATGTCTGGAGGAGAGGGAAAAAAAAAACAGACAGGATTAGCAACAGAGTTATTTTCTTTTTCTTTTCTCTTTAACGTTTACATCTTCAAAAACGTGGTAAATATTGAATCAGTTACCATGGTGACCGTGGTTGCAGGCCTCATGAAGGGGAGTCCAGCCACAGTAGTCTCTTGGGTTCACTGGGTGACCCTGACAATCAGAAATAATATCAAGTCCAGGTTGTTTCATGTTACAGTGACTGTCGGCAGCCTTTTAACGGACTCTTCCATCTTTTAAGTGGCTTCTCTCTCTACAAACGATTCAAGCAAAAGCAGCTTGAGCATGTTTTTTTTGTAAAGTACATTTTTAACAAGCTCAAGCCAGAGGCAGAAATCCATGAAATCTGTTATTGGTCTTCTGCTGAGCACAGAACAGATATTTTACAGTGGATTGAGGATTTTACTCTCATCTGAAGTCCTACTTTGTTATTTGGTTTACATTTATCTTTTTTTTTTTTGCATTTTTGGCCACAAAAAAAAAGGGAAAAATGTGCAGCATTTTTTTCTTACAAAAATATCATACACATCCAAAAAGTACTGGGTGCCGGACAAAAAACGTTTTACTCTCATCATCATGTCAAAGAAAGACTAAGTCCGCACACCTGAAGTTGCTCCAATTAAATTTTAGTGGGAATTATCACCACATGTAACGTTTCGGAAAGCATTTATTTCTTACCTGTTCTACCAGGTACTGGACCTGCTTCAGGTTTCCATCTATGCACGCTCTGTGCAGAGACGTCTCGCCCTTCTCGTTCCTTTTGTTCCACTAGAGAAGAAAAAATTACTTTAATAAGGGCAGAGCGTAAAACCCTGAAATTTCAATCATCTTTAGCTTGTGCAAAGTGCATAACTTACCCGTCCTGCCTTCCTCCTCCCTGATACCATCTTGTCATAACCCTCCATGTCGTCATCTAGACAGAAAATCAATAGAAGACAAACATTAAGCGACTACATATCAGAATGGATTGATTGGAGATGTGAAAAGGACAGTCTACCTGAGTCTGAGAGAACCACGTCACTGTCATCCAGAGGTTCACTGTTGTCCATCTCCTCCTCTTCATCACCCTCACCGTCGCTATCATCTGGGCTCCAGCCCTCAGCGGCACAAAGCTCCTGCAGCCTCGCCTCAGTGTCGTCTGCGTCCGAGGAGCCGCGTCGTCTCTGGAACGCCAGCCAGAGCCTCAGCACGCGCTTCTGTTGAAAGGAAAGCGAGGATAGATTTACTGTATCCATAAATATCTGAAGTATAAAAACTGTGTTCAAAGTTTATCAGCACTTGTTTCTTCTCACCTGCAGTCTGGTCGGCCCACATGTCTGAGCGGAGTGTAACGCCGTACTGTAGCTGCTGTTTATATCCTCAAAGGCACAGCTGCTCTCCTCCTGAGCTGCTGCAATGTTCAGCCAAGTGCTGCACTCCTGATGTAGACAAATACAAGATATTAATCCACATGCAAGTCAGGATATTCTAGTTAATGATTCTCTATAGTGTGTTTCAATATTGGAAATTATATTTGAAAATTAGAGAAGCTAAATCAAACTCTGTAATCAAATAACTTCAGTCTTCTCCCACAATCATACAGGTGACCAAGCTGGAACTATAATTCATCTTTCATCCATCAGATACAATATATTTTCTGTAGCAATTTAGAAGAAGGTGGTGTTGGGTGAAGATGCAGATGATGCATGTGTACCTCAGTCGAGCTGCCCTGTCGTAGAGCCAGCTCCTGTCTGTAGTGCTCCACGGCCTTGCTATGCTGTCTCAGGTCTGTGTAGGTCGCAGCCAGGGACACGTGGATGACAGCCTGCTCCCTCGCAGGCTTTCCCATTGCCTCAGCACCCTTTAGCTAAACCACAAACACAGCAGAGCTCCACAGACTTAATTGTGGGGAGACACTATAACTGAGATTGAAGGAGTTGAAATACATGTTTAGTCACAGTAAACATCTAAATGTAAATTGTGTTTAATTACCTGAGCTTGATATGCATCCAGAGCTTTGCTGTAGCAGCCGACCTTACAGTAAAGGTCCCCAAGCTGCTCTGCCAGCCCAACGGCCTGATGGGAACCGAGTCTTTTACCCTGATCATCCCCCAACTCCTCCTCTAGTTTACAGCCTTGGTTGGCTAAGAAATAAAAACAGTAACACCATCAAATCAGATGCGTTTGTGGGAAATACTTTTTTGTCTGTATATCAAATAAGACTGAGTGGATTAAAACACAAATTTTGGTTCATGGTAAAATTTCTTTTACCATGTTTAAAAGCTTTCTTCACAGCCTGCCTGTCCATTGGCTGCTGCGAACCCAGCGAGAGTGCTTTCTTCAGAGATCGTCTGGCTGCTACGAAATCCCCCAGAGACAACTGCACCTGCGGATGAATGCCGATGTTAGCAGGTTAAACTGGACAGTAACTGCATTAGCTTTTGCCAGGAAAGAGCCCGTACCTTGCCAATGCAGTGAAAGCACTCGCTCTCGCTGAACTTGTCTTTGATCTTCCTCGCACACTCTTTGGCCTGTTCCAGGCAACGCACAGCGTTAGACTTCTGACCGTTACGGAAGTAGATGTTGCCCAGGTTAAAGTTTGCTCGGTACAGATCTTCCAGCAGCTGACCCTTCCTTTACAGAGAGAAAGCACAATAATAAACATTTTATGGTAAACTTTTTATTTTCTAAGTTCTGATTTAGGTACTGTAAGTCCCTGCTGTTCCCGGTTAGTGAAGAATAAGAACATTTACAGTTTTGAGTCTTCCCCTTCCTCTGCACGTTCCAACGTTAAAATGAAGTATAATTTAGTACGCTCTCACTCTGCAATAAAGACACTACGACGGATGAACTCGCTGCATTGTTTCGTCTCCCCCAGATGATCACAGACCAGACCAAGATTGAGGAATAGACGTGCCTTCATCTCACTAATCTCCCGCCCCGACACAGTCCCTAGATGTAGAATGGTAGGGGTATGGTTAGATGTTAGAACAGACAGGTAATACAAAAATCAACACTATATAATTAGATCCAAACAGGCACATAATCAAACAGTGCAGACCTTCTAGACGGTCATTCACAATGGCAAGACTCTTCCTGAAGGCGTCCTCTGCTTGCTCCAAACTGTTCCTGGATTGGTCCGATTCATAACGGAAGAGGTATGTTCGACCAATAGTGGCCAGGGCCCTCTGCTCCTCAGCGTGGTCTCTGACAGAGCGAGCCAGGTCCAAGTGAAAGCGCTGATGCTGAAGAAGAGGAGAACATACAACATCTTAAATTCTTCGGTAACTCTTTGTGTGTCTTTATATGAGCCTGAATGTTGTGCACTATTTTTAAATCACTACAAATGAGAAGTTCTAAGAATGGGATTAAAGGGGGAAAAGGACATTTTTCAGGCACTTAAGCAGAAAATTGTACTCACTTTCAAAGCAGCTTCAATGTTCCCCATCTCTGCGTAGCACTCTCCTATCTTTCGATTGGCTACAGCTCGTCCAATCACATCGTTGAGCACCTCTGATAGAGCCAGCTCCTGCTGATGCTCCCTTATGGCGGCCTCGTAATCACCTGAGATAGAAAAGGACCGCACAGGACAAACAGGCTAAACATATCTCAAAGAAATAAATTAGTAAGACAAAACGTTAGTACAAGGGGGAGGGGGGAGATCAACAGTACTATGGTTTTGCAACTAAAAGTAGGAATTAAAGTGAATTAAATAGAGTTGGTGTGGGTTGGAGAAAGTTAATAAAAAAGTTAAGAGGATTAAATTACATCAAGAGCTTCTCCGTGTAACACATGAATGATCAGGAAGACTATATAGAGGGGGTCCATCCAAAATGAGTTAGAAAAGAAACACAAATGTTATCTAACTCGTAACTGTTGGGCTTCAGATTTGTGCAGATGCCGATTAAAAGAGCTATTTATATCTCACCAGTATTGCCCTTTGCTTAGGAGATGATGATTGAGTAAATTCACTGTAATGCTTGTAAAAACACGTCCATGTTCATCTTCTTCGCTTGTACTTCTTCACAATCTGCACATATCATTTCAGTTGTTCCACAGAGCAGGACAAAAAACCTTTGGCGACGCTGCTTTCAGACTGTTACGCTCCGAGACTGTGGAACGACCTTCCTGAGGGTCTGAGAGGAGCCCAGAATATCGAGATTTTTAAACGCAGTCTTAAAACTAATTTACTCAGTCTGGCTTTTATATAGTGTTTTATATCAATTCAAATCTTAACATTACTGTATTCTCTTTTTATCCTACTACAATTTTAAATATTTTCCTCTTATGTATTCATTTTAACATCTTGTTGCTTTTATGTGTCGTATTTGTATACATATATTTTATTTTTAATTGTTATTGGTGTGCATTGGTCTCTCAATGATTTTATAAACTACTTTATGTCAATAACTTTTCTGCACTCTTGTTAAGCACTTTGAACTGCAATTTAATTTGTCTGAAAGGTGCTATATAAATAAAGTTTGATTGATTGATTGATCCATTCTCTCTAAAAACGTATGATCTGTCATTATTTATGTCAGTGCCACATCCGTTTCTATGTATTGTGAATGATTAAATAGTTCTGCAGCTTCCTATCACAAAAAAATGTATTTATTAAAAACAAATCCAGTCAAATTAAGGACTATTTAGTACAGACAAACCTTAATGCTGGTCATCTTCTAAAACACTTACCATTTCTGGACAGCAGCTCCCCAAGATGATTGCAGATATTGGCTTCCTCTCTCAAGTTGTTGCTGTTCTGCGCTTTGCTCTTTGCTTTCTGTAGCTCTGCGCGATAATCACACAATATACTTTTCCACATCAACAATGTCAACGATCTAAATGAGAGGGATTAAGAAAGCCTTCCTACTTCACATAAGCATTAGTAAATCAACACTTACGTTTAATCTCCCGTGCAGAGCTCATCATTATCCAGTTGCCTCTGAGCGGTGCTAACTAGCTAGCTCACAGCTGATGGTAAATATGTAAACAGGCAGCGCGCTTCACTTTAGCTTAGCTGAAGCAAAGCCGACAAAACATAGATCGACCCAAAACAAGATCACAATTTCACACCATTTTCGCTTATTTACGTCTATTCTTCTGCTCTCGCTGTCATTTAAGTATCCGATCGTGTGTCAAACAGCTCTTCATACTCAACAACAACTCAGTAAACATCAGTAAACTTCAGCTAACAGTGCACAGTAAACTTCACAAAGCCCCGCCACCGCTGCGCTAACCAATCACCTCACTGAAGAAAAATGAAGTAAATTATGCCCTGATGTTGTTCTTACAGGCAAACAGTTCGCCCCATTCACGAGGATTAAAAGGTCGTGTTTCCAACACAGCTCTAAATCCACATCATCTGTTATAACACAGAACTCGAACATCGCGCATTTCATTCGTTTTGGTTTATGTACATTTAACGGAAACAACAAACTGGTGCATATCTGCCTGCGAGATTAAATGCTGGGCACAAGAACGAAGTATTACCAAAAAAAAAAAAAAAAAGAGGCAATTCATTGGCTATCCGCACCCTGTGACGTAGTTCCACGTAGAAACAAGTGGATACGCTTATTTCGGTTACATTTAGACAACTTGTGTGTCTTGTGCAGTTAAATTCCGAACAAAAGCTTAAATACAAGCTATGAGCATGTTAAAGTGTGAATGAAAAGACAGCACAAACAGAATTAACAAGAAGTGGTTTGTTTCGGTTGCCAAGTGTGACGTTGTAGGCAACATGTAGGCCACATGATTACTGTAAATATTAAGGAGCCAAATCAATTCAGTCAGGTGGAAATTAAGAAGAGGTAAGATTACCTATTATGTCTAAAAACAGACAATTATGTCTAAACCTCTTTGTCATAGTGGATGTAAAGTTTAGGAAAATTGCCTTAGAAATTGAATTTATTAGATTATTTTTGTGGGTTTTTTAAAAGTCTTTGTAAACAAATGTCCTCCAGGCTAATAGGTTTATATGGCTTTCGTTTATAAACTGAAACAATAAAGAACACCTCAGAATATTTGAATCATTTGAAACATGTTAAATACAAAAATGCAACAGTGAGGCATTCAGTCGATTCAAAAAGATCCAATCTGATAGGTTGTCATGGTCAATGTTTATTCCTTACTTAAGCTCATCACAGATGTTCTTGTTGTGTTTCATTGTGTATGTTGTCCTAAAAAGCATTAAAACAATTATGGTTCTGTAGAAAATGCCAAAGACTGTTTTAAAAACAGAGCCATTATCGGCCTCCAGGTAACACTGAATAATTCATTTTTAATTTTGCCCCTAGCAAAGGCATACCTGTTAGTTATAAATGATAGCATTAAAACGTTCCCCGGAGAGTTTGTATTTATGTTGTTTGCTATTGTCTAACAATAAGGTTTTACCTGCCAAGTGGTGACAGCTTGCTTTATTTTTCCACATCATATTAAGATATGATGCCGGATGTGGGCTCGCTGTGGCCCCAAGTTACAGAAATACTACAGATTTCTCCTTTTAAAATCAAAGAGGACAGAGCGTCTTTCACTTTGAGTAATCTTCTCACAATTCTCAACAATTTGACTTGACCTTGATTAATACAGTCTTGAGGTTTAAGACAAATGCAAAAGGAGGATTCAGAGATACCCTGACTCCACTTACACAAGTTACCTTAATTGTGTGCCAGTGGATGTTTCCACTCTTGAACTACAAAGTTCCCAAGAAGGACTACTCATAGCTCATTTTAGATACATTGCCCCTTGTTTCTAACTGTGAGGTTTCTTTTTAGGACTTCATAACCAAGGTTGTAATTTTAATTACGATATAAGCTACAAAGCCCCAAGAATAGCTGCTCACGCTTACCTTGATGTCTACTTGTGTTTATCCACACACATTAATGATTGCACATTTCAGTTAACAACAAAATGGTCCATCACTTGAAATATATTTTAAATACTGTAAGGAATGTCGTACTGCCCTGGAACAACAATAGGTAAAGAACTGTCCAGGGCAGCCTTCGGAGCTCTTTTCCTTTCCATTAACAGAATTCAACGAGCTCTTTTCATGGCTGCCACTTAAATACTTCTGGGTCATTTCACTCAGCTAGACTCCATTAACAAAAAAACAGCCACTTGACTGCAGCCCTGGTGGATCAGACCATGTCAAAGATGATTTCATCTAAAGACCCCCAAAACTACAATTAGGCGTGCAGGAGGACATATTCTGAAATTGTGCTTTTATAATCTTTGACTAAACTCTAGTGTGGATTTTTTTTTATTTTGAAAGAATAACTATACGTTAAATGTATAATCCATTTAGTGTGATAGTTTCTTGTCTTTGTTAGGTGGTGTAGATGTCATCGTTCATCAAGACTACCTTATATCAGGATCCACAAGTCTGAACCCCAAATGAGGCCTCACATTACTCACACCCATTTTCAGATTGACATTCATGGAGCTAACCCAAATTTGTGATCTTATAATCCAACTGTTCAGTCTGCAAAAAAAAAGGAAAGGGTGACACATGGGCATGGATGATGATGACGTCAGCAGCGCAGGCAAGCTTTCTGATTGGCTTGTTCCGATGGACATCACGCCTTTACAGACAAATTATGGTTTAGCCTCTGGTGCGTTGCTAAATACAGACACATGTGAAATAAACATTACTGACATTATTACCCCCGAGTGTTAGGATACAAGTGTGATGACTAGACTATTGTTGTCTGCTGTCTGTTTGGACAAAATTAATGGATGTATTTTTATCTTTAATATGACAAAAAAGAGGACCCAATGCATAGCTACAAAAATGCAATTTTAACAAAATGTCTCTATGCGCTTAATGTACAAGTTCAATGGTATTGATTTAGAGGTATTTGTCTTAAATGTCTTCTTATTTAATTCCCTCTAGATTTGCAGAAATTTCAACTTGTGAAATAATTTTTATAGTGCATACAAAAATAAATCCTAGTCCTTTAACAGAGAAGAAAAAAAAAATCAGCAGACAATGAGAAAATGGGTTTACAGTAAGCCAGAGTGAAATCCTGCATACACAAGGAAGAGACAACGCAGATCTGTCATTTTTGTGCAGCATGAAACCATTGCTGACATGCCTGATATGAGCCTGAAGCATCAGGAGGAGCTTCATTTCACATCAGACAGGCACAGAGTTTCCCCCGGATCCTCTGTGAGTCTGTCTCTCTAAACCGTTGACCTTACAAATGAGGCACACTGCATCATTGTGCGAATTGGTGTTTGTGGGCGGTGCAAAGTGGAGTAGAGCACATCAGAGTGCAGGATAGCAGAGCAGAGCAGAGCAAAGAGAGGCAGGCACATCCGCCGCTGCAGGGATCAAATCTGTACCATCTGACGCTCAAGGATTTATGGGTTTAGTCAAAATTGCTTTTCCCACTGTGGAGATTAAGCACCGTAGGATGTTTTCCACCAAGGCCGTAGAATAGTGTAGCTGCTGCTGCTGCTGTTGCTGTTGCTGTTTTTCTTCTCTCTTATCGGCTCCAGAGCTGCGGAGGGGAATGTCTCAGGACGGCAGAGTGCTCCAAACCCTTGAGGGGAGACGATTCTGACTGACAGGAGAGGTCCGTCCTCTGGGGAATGTGAACCATGCAGGTGGATACAGTACTTGTGCTTTTCTGCGTTTGGCTCGTCGGTGCAGCAGGGAAGATGGTCCAGCAGAGGGGTCACAAGCTGGAGACCTACAAACAGAGCAGGTAATGCCAAAAGAGTCATGAATGTAGCAAAGACAAACACTGGAATGCATGCTTTTATTTTTATACAAGGTGTATTGAGCTTTTAAAGCCTCCTTTTGCTTTGAATCTCATTTGTCTTTATTATCTTTTTAGACATGTTTTTTTTTTTTATGTTTACATGGTGTTGTCCAGTGTTTCCTGAGTCACTTTCCTGCTCCCCCCCTCGCGAAAAAAAAATACTTTTTCAGATGCCAGATTGGAGAGAGAGAGAGAGAGAGAGAGAGAGAGGGAACACTAAATCCTCACATCTATTTATGTACTACTAGTGAAAGCTGTGTTCTCTTGCCCCACAACTGCTTCAGGCAAGTTAATGACCCACTGCCAGCAGTTGTAGTCAATGTCATTTTCAGGTGATTATTTAGGCTAATTGCTGCCTCGTCAATGTGTCCACTGGATTAAATGTTTTGAGGAGGACTGAACTAGATTCATACAGCATCTGTAACTATCCAAAATGTTGACTGAACTGACCGTGACTTTAGATATTGATTGAATAGAAAGGAGCGTATTTGCTGGTCTTGTTGTATACGTGTGTATACATTCATATGACATAACTTTAAGATAAACAAATAACTTAGCATCAGTATTTTGTAACTGATTGTTTATAATTACTTAAATGATAGTGGAACAAAATGAAGCATAAAGCAACACCTGAAGAAGAAAAATGCAGTCAGGCATTTAAGAAGCAGAAATATGTTGAAATAATGTCTCAGGGGCCTTATTTACCAAACTGTTAAGCACAGTTCAGGAATAAATGTAAAAGATATTTTTAAAATCAAACTTAGCTGCTGATTATTCTGTCAGTTTATAGAATCTGTGCCGATATATTTAGCTTAAAACTTACAGTTTAGGGTCACGTGACGATGGTTGGCTAGAGGACGTGTTTTCACCGAGCTCCCGCTCCCACTCTATTTTGATTATATTTGATACGGTCTAATGTATCCAGTTTAGCTTATTATGTCAACACATTGTTGTAACAACTTGTAACGAGAAGAAAGGTACACCCTTAAGTGACAAGAGATGTCGAAACAGACGAAAATTCAACCACGCAAGTCAACAGCTGCTACAACTGCTAGCCAAACGAGCACTGCGCACGAAGGAGGCAAAACCCTGCCTACAATGGATGCCACAGCTTTAATTCATGAGGTAACTCAGAACTTTAGCGACGTTTTGGAAAATAAACTTTTTAAGTTCTCTGAGACTTTGGAAAAAATTTCCACGACCCTGGAAAGCCAGTCCAAACGCATTACCGCGGCTGAACAGAGTGTATCGGATGTGGAGGACACGGTGGCCGGTCTGGAGGCAAGACTCGCCGACGCAGAGAAGAAAATGAAGGTGATGGCTGATGGCATAGTTGACATGGAAAACCGGAGCAGGCGGGATAATATCCGCGTACTCAATTTGAAAGAGGGCACGGAGGGGAAGCGCCCGATAGACTTCTTTGAATCTTGGCTGCCCACCGTTCTCAGCCTAGAAGCGAGCCCCGGTACCAAAAGCC